GTGGGAGGTGTGTGTGTGCGGGGTGGGTGGGGTGTGTGTGGTGTGCGGGGTGCATGTGTGTGGGGTGCGTGGCGTGCGTGTGGCGTGCGTGTGGTGTGCGGGGTGCGTGGCGTGCGTGCCCGTGGTCCCAAGCAGCAAGCCCAGCACATTCTGAGCAGGCATTATCTGCCCTCGCAGCTGGTGCCCCGTGCCGCAGCGCTCACACAGCTGTCAAGGGGCAAGTGCTCGGGGCACACTGCCCAGAGCCTCAGCAGGGCGCCGTGCCCGTGCGGGGACACATACCTGGGCGAGGAGCGGTTCTGCCTTGCGCTGGGCTGCTGCAGGGCGAGCAGACAGACAGACACGTGTTAGTTACGCCCAGGGCCGACTCGAGCCATTCCTGCATCCCGGGCAGCGGGTGCGCGACCCATGCGTGGCCCCGCCCGCCGGCGCACTGAGCCCTTACAGCTGCCATCGGGCGCCCCCCCATAGGTTGGCGCTCCGGGCAGCTGCCTGGCAAACCTCCCCCTTAATCCGGCCCTGGTTATGCTCGGGGTGACGCAGGGACACCGAAGGCGGAACAAGAGCCCCTCGTGGTGCCCACGGAAGGGGCCCCTATGGGCACATCCTGGATTGGCTACGCAGCATGTCGCAGCCTGGCAGCTGCACCCTGAAGCCTGTCTTGCCAAGCTCTGGGAGAATCTCCCCCGCCCGTTAGCAATAGCAGGGCTTTGACCCCTGCCTGCCCCAGGGCAGCAGCTCAGCACATGCCATCAGCAGGGGCCAAGGTGCACATTCAGCACGCCCCAGTAGGGGCCGTCACCCTCCCCCAGAGACACACTGCACAAGTAGCAGTCTGGCTACGACCTGCAGCCCAGGGCAAAGGGAAAGACTGGCTCCTGCTGTGCTGCCCACCTGCCCCTGCCCCCGCCCCCGCCCTGCCCTATGCGCCAATGGCGGTCTGTGGTTCGAATGCATCTGCCCGGAGACCCCCTGGGGAGACAAGGCTGGGCTACTCCCACTTTGCAGATGGGAAATCGAGGCATGAACGCCTCAACCATATTTAGGCACCTAACCCCCATGGGAGTGAAGCACCTGAATACCTGAGAGGAGCTGTGCCTAAGTGACTTGCCCAAGGTCATATGGGCTGTCAGTGGCAAAGCAGAAGCTCACAGCTGGGTCTCCCAAGGCCCAGGCTAGTGCTCTAACCACTAGACAATCCCCTCTCTTACAAGGGGGGCTGGGTCCAAACTGCCCTCTTAGTTTTGCTTCTGTGAGATAAGCCCGTTAGCTGTACCTTCAGCTGTCCCCGCTTTCCAATGACTGTGCTGAAAGGGGAGTGGGGGCAGGCAGCGGTTTGGGGGCAATGGTGCTGCAAGTGTTCCCAAGGCCCAGGCTAGTGCTCTAACCACTAGACAATCCCCTCTCTTACAAGGGGGGCTGGGTCCAAACTGCCCTCTTAGTTTTGCTTCTGTGAGATAAGCCCGTTAGCTGTACCTTCAGCTGTCCCCGCTTTCCAATGACTGTGCTGAAAGGGGAGTGGGGGCAGGCAGCGGTTTGGGGGCAATGGTGCTGCAAGTGTGCCTCCCACCCAGCCGCTGCGGAGACTCACCCTCTCCATGTGCGTGGCGCTCTCCCGCGGGGTCGGCAGGGGCGGCACCCACCCGTCCGAGAAGACGGGGATATAGGGAGGGATGAACTGGCCGTCTGGGAATTCGGCCCTGCCGGGGGGGGGGGGGGGGGGGGAGAGGG